CATCCTTGATTATAGCAACTCGAGGTTTGAATTTGTTCTTCAGTTCCTTGAGCTTAAGATATGCTGAGCGAGTTCGGCCCTTTTGATTTTCCGACTCATGTTTTCCTGCAGAAAGGTCAAAGGAGAGGCTAGGCTCTGACTAGCTGAAGTTGAGCACCTCACAGGACAGCCATCAGACCCCGCAGACATAAAATATTAGTCTTTTAAAAATTCCTCCCCAACCATCTGAAAGTGTAAAAATTATCTCTAGTTCCTAGGTTATATGTTAGTTTGGGCACATAGGATGCAGTTTGCTGACCCCTGTTCTGGAAAGAAGCTAAGCTACTTTACTCAAACACACCCTTTTTAAAAAAACAATTCATTGTTGTTCATTTTATACTACCTCTCTCCTAACCCATCCAGCAATGCTTCTCTCTTTCCATATTGTTGTCATACATATAATGCCTAATCATATACGCCTTTCAGATAGTTCTTCCCCTCATCTATTCTAATGCAATGTTTATTAACTGTCCACTCTTTCCCTATTCTCTCTCCAATTCCCCCTTCGCTGTCCTATTTTATAACAATGGCCTCACACAGTATTTGCCCTTTTGTGATTGAGAAATTTCACTCAGCATAATTTCTCCAGGCTCAACCATGTTGGTGTAATGTTTTACAAGTTCAATGTTTTTCAATGCTGTATAATATTCCATTGTGCTACTGTACCATAGTTTTTCTATCCATTCTTTTGCTGATAGGCACTTGGGTTGCTTCCATTTCTTTGCTATTGTGAATAATACAGCAATAAACATAGGTGTGCACATGTGTGTTTGATTTGTGACTCTGGTTTCTTTAGGGTATATTCCCAATAGTGGAATTGCTGGGCCAAGTGACATCTCTATTTCCAACTTTTTGAGAAAGTGCCAGAAAGTGTCTTCCATAGTAGCTCTACCATTTACATTCCAACTGGCAGTGAATAAAAGTTCCAATCTCTCTACAACCTTTCCCTCTTTTGCTTACTGCCCTGTTTAACTTTGCTATTATTGCTCGGGAAAAGTTGTATTTTCTGATCAGCTCATTTGTTGTCTATTGGCTAAGGTCTGTAAGGCAATCTTTTTTATTTTGGAAGATATGTACAGACATAAAATAGAAAACAAAATAATATGGAATGCTGGGATGGAGGCAGGGATAAGACTTCATA